CCAAGACCTGGAGGCAGCAAAAAATAGGTTGCCGGAGGAAGAGGAGCAGGAAACGGTCAGCAAGAGAGGCAGAGGTTCGGGGCGTGGAGGGCGTGGAGGGCGCGGGCGCGGGCGTGGCGGACGTGGGTCCAAAACACACTCTGCCTCTGCATCTGCGGGCGGAAACAAGGCAAAGGCGTCTGAAGGAAGCAAGGACAAGCCGAAAACCAAGGGCAAAGCAGAAGGAAAAAAAACCAAGGCTGGGGAGGAGACAAGCAAAGCTGATGAGGATGTGAGTGGCAGTGGGGCAGCTAGCAGCAGCAAGGGCAAGCCGACAACCAAAGGCAAAGGGAAAGGAAAAAAAGCCAAGGCTGGGGAGCAAACGAGTGGAGCTGATGAGGATGTGGGTGGCAGTGGGGCCGCTAGCAGCAGCAATGGCAAGCCGACAACCAAAGGCAAAGGGAAAGGAAAAAAAAGCAAGGATGGGGAGGAGCGGAGCACGACTGATGACGCAGTGCAGCATGGCAGCAAGCGCAAAGCGAAAGCAACAAAGGCAAAGGATGCCGGGGAGGATCGTGCCGAGGAAGGTGCCTCGAAGCGCCGAAAAAAGCAGCTTCACACGCCGGTGCCGACCTTCAAGAACGCTGAACTCTCCGTTTATTGGACTCGATCGGGAGTGGGCGTAAAGGCCAAGACGGGCTCTGAGAAAGGCAAGCAGGTGGGGTCCTCAATGCCTGAGCTCGTGCAGTATCTATATAAACATGCAGCTATACAGTACGGGGGCGATAGAAATAATTAATGAACTCTTTCTTCAATCAGGTTCTCTATGTGGCTACTTCCAAAGTCCCGATTGCCACAGTGATTGCGGTTGCAGCAAAAGCTGTTCGACTCTGAGTGCAGCAGCATACAATATGTACTTCAGAGTTGCATGCCTGCGTAATCTACAACTCTACTTCTGCCCAGGCGAAGCTTCTGGATGATGCCGAGGCATGTGTCACCGAGCCCCTGCTGGAGGCAATGTACAAGATCAAAACCGACTTCTTGGAAAGCATTGTCTAATCGACAGCATGCTTTCAATCCTCCCTCTCTAAAGATGTTGAGCCGAAGTTCCGATGTATTAATTCAATTCTACATGCCCAGCAGGCACGTGTGGTAAAGGGACATTCCATAATGCTTTTGTAAACAAACTCTACACTAGACCCTACACACCATGTCGTATATACACTCTTGCTGTACAGCCTTATATGGTTCTCCTATACCTACGACCTCGGGTCGGGTTCTTTGCTTCCGAAAGCCATATAGCACCCCTATAGTATGTTAATTCATAAGCCCGATAAGCCCTATATTTCTATCCTAGACAATTTCGATTCATGTAAGTTTCGAGAACGATAATATGTGCCATGGGCCCGTGCATTCCTGCTGACTGTGGTTTAGCCATAGAATCAGCTTTATGTGCCGGTGAAGTGCCAAATCCCGGATGCTGCTCGCATGCAGACAAAAAATCCAGTTGCACGCATGCCTCTTGTGCACATGCATGCCAGCACATTGCAAAGCTCGGCAGAGTGATCACCTAATTTTTCCCGAAATCCTGTATATAACCTTTATGTAAATTAAAACCCTCAACCCTCTACCCCCCTCCCCCCCCTCAAAAAAAAGAACTCCTTAATGTTGAACCAATCTGTGGCCCAGGTCGAACGATGCCTCCGTCATCAGTGGCGATGAAGTATGGGCTGGCCTCGGCGATGGATTCGGGTGCGCCCCCTCTCGTGTGCGAAGCTATGTCTCTGGATCTCTGGATGTGCTCTTTTGTTGTGACTACAGACATGTTACTTGCATTGTGTGCATACATGTGCAGGCATAAACTAAACCATGCATCCACAAACATGCTTTGCAGTGTCAGTGGCTCTGCAGTGAGACATGCTGAACTGGCATGCATGCATGCATGCATGTGCACCCTGAATTGATGTATAACTTGAACCTTAAACCCCCTAGCTCCCAACAGGTTGTATGGTTCAACAACAACATTCTTCTGTCGCATCATTTTAAATTTGTTCGAGATACCTTTTGCCGTGCCACACCAATAACCAATGGTGAATTCTTGGGACTTGGACGTTGTGGTCCGGAGGCTCATCGGTCTACAAGCACCCAAAGACTCTGTCCTGCACTTTAGTTAGCCACTATAATTAATCAACGCAGTACAGATGCTTATCCAAGTATTCTGTTGCCTCTCTCTTTCCTTGTCTGTCTATAATCAGGCCCTGGTCCTTCTGATTTTACTGATCTCTTGGCTTCCCGAAGCCAAGCTTGATGAGCCTGGCCGCCAGTATGATCTCATCGAAGTGTTCGCTGGTGTGGGTGAAGTTACGAAGCAATTTCGTCGAGCCGGCCAGCGGGCCGTCGCTATGGATCTTCAGTATAATGCCCCATTGTCTAAGAAGGGTTCAATGGACTTGACTACGCCTTCAGGATTTGTGTTCTTTGGTTGCAACTGATGTATATCAGCTGTGCATGTGGGCCACCCCAGTCCTACTAGGAGTTATAGTTTGCATGCATTTCCAGCAAGGTTGTGCATCCTACTGATTCTTCGCGGTCGCCGTGATGCCTTCCTGGCTGTGATAGCAGTATGCTGCTCCTCGTTTGTTCTCGCTTCTCGGGGAAGCTCAAAGAGATCCGAACTAACACCAATGGGCTTCGAGGAGTACGAGAAAGTTGCTGTAGCGAATTTGCTGGCATCCAGGCAGGGCTGATTTTTCATCTGGAGCAAGCTTGTTTCGACAGGTTTCGGGCCCCAGTTTAATCATTATGCTGGATGCCACTTCTCTCCTCAGCTCCCGAATTTCTCTCTCTCTCTCTATATATATATATAACTCTATATCTGTATCTCAGTCTCTCTCTCTTTCTCTCTCTCTCCCTCTCTCTCCCTCTCTTTCGCACTCCATTATGTCTGCAGGTCTCTCTCACTCTCCTTGCCTCGTATAATGTTTCTTTGTATAGGGTTTATATAATTCTCCATGTAATTCTAGAAAACCCAAGTCAGCCGAAGTCCCTTTAGAAATCGCCCCGAGGCAAGCCGCGAAGCCCCCCAATGGCAGAGAGTGAGAGCGCAAAGCAGCATCCAGTAGATTCTCGATTTGCTATAGATACCTTAGCATGTGACTGCATGCTTCTGAGCTCACATCACAAACAATCCTGTGGTTGTTCGACGCATACTTCGGAATGAACAGCTTAACGGCCTATACTATATACTGTACAAACCCTAGAAGTGTGAGAAAGAGAGTGAGTGCGAGAGGCCTATACACAGAGAGAGAGAGAGAGAGAAGCGAGAACGGTTTTAAACTTATAGAGGTGATAGAATTCGGTGGCTCACGAGGACAACCCTGTTGCTCTTCGTTGTCGTCGCTTGCGGCGGGACGTTCCTTGTGGAGCAGCCCGTGACTTCTTTACTGATGAAACATGACCGACTGAGTGACCTGATAGAGTCTTGGTTTGGCTGTATCAATGCGACTAGAATGCAATACCTTTCCGTGCATGCATGTGTACGGTGTCTTCTGCAGTAGCCCATGTATCTATATCTCGATTGCAGCATTCTACAATCTATAGCAGTATACATCAATGAAGCTGCATGACCCTTAGCCGAGGTATGGAAACAGAATTTCTGGATGCAGCATTGGGGCTCGCAGACTCCGAAGAGGACTTCTTTATATTCGAATTCTCTGGAGATCAGGCGATTCGACTTGGGTCGTCTCGCTCGCTCGGAAATGAAGAAGTCTAGAATCAAAACCAGCAAGCGCTACGTAGATCGTCAGGGTCGGTTGGTTTGGACTGGAAGCAAGGCTTTGCAATCTACGCAGAGACCCGGACTTAATATAAGCAGAAGACTTGTATGAGCCACACATGCAAGCCCAAGGGCCCCTGTTCTAAGAAAGCGAGACCTGCCTATATAAGGACGTACACTTACAAGTTCGCCAACGCCATTCTCCAATTCAAGCCTCATCTCTTGACCGGGAAGAGCTCGGTGCCAGCGGCGGCTTGTGTGCAGCCATGCATGCTAGAGCGGGTCTTTCGTTGAGGTTCTAAGGTTCCTGGCATTATCCCATACTTTTTATGTATCGGGGTTAAGGTTATATATATATGTATATATATAGGCTATATATATACAGGGTATATATATATATATATACGGGAGTTTCCGAAAATTAGGGGTACCTTATTTTGGGGTCATTATAATAAGGATCCTATTATTTGGGGTACTATATTAGGGTCCCCTATTTTCGGAAACTCCCATATATATCTCTAATATTATACATTAGATACAAGATCCCGTCCCGCACGGGCATAGATGATATGAGGTTTGGACAGTCTGTCAGGGAATTCGAATAACCCCGGACCCCGAAATTCCTATAGCAACTTCTGCTTCGATCGATCATATGTCCTACACAACCCCAACGTTTCGCTTGTTGTCCGGGACACACTCCGAAAAGGGTGCTAGCAGGGGTTGCTTAGTTTGTGTTCCTCCACACATGCACATGTTAACCATAGACCATAGAACAGCGGCATATGAGCTATGTAGATCAAACCTTGTGCATGGATATGTATATATGTTATATATATATAGACATATGGCTTCTTAATTTATATGCTACAAGTATATATATATATATATATCTGGGAGAGTATATGCATGTGTACATGGTGCTAATGTGTGTGCATCTCGTAGGGCTCAAATTGTGCTTTTGGGAATGCATGATATGAACTATATTTGTAATATGTATATATATATATATATAGAGAGAGAGAGAGAGAGAGCTCATATCGTGCATTCCCAAAAGCACAATATATATGTCATGTACATATATATATATAGTTATATAAGATATTAAATAAAACATGTAGCATAGCCGAACCTTCCTCGTGCTCACGTATTAGCTAGAGTGTTCGTAGACGACTTGCAATGCAGTGTGGGCTATAGTTATACATGCAGTGCAATACAAACATGATACAAAAGACGGTTTGATCCCATTCTACGAAACGTGTGCACCTGGTAAGGGCTCCTTGTCTAGATGCCACTTAAAATCATCCTTGCTTAAGCCACTTCCCTCCTTAATGCAATCCAAGGTTGGAGGTGCGGACATTGCTGAGCTCTTTGATGACCTCGGCTTCGACGATCTATGGGACGATGCGAGGCTTGTTGAAGCAATCACATACGTGAGGGGTGCACGTGGATTGCAAATACCTTTGCAGTGGCGGGCACGCATCCCAAAGCGATTGTGAGCAGTTTAGGCTAGGTTTTTGCTATTTCGGACAACACGACATGTGTTGGGTTTGTTTTGGCTCGTTCCTCTCAAAAACCCGAAGGCCGAAATACCCGTACCCAAAGGCGTAAAAGAGCGTACCAAAGGCGTAAAAAAGCGTACGAACTGTACGCGTACCCCAGCCCCTCCTGGAAGCCCTGGGCCTAGCTATCCGGAAGCCAGTGTACACAGCTTTGGCAGCCCAAATTCCACCCAAACACCGGTACACTGCGTACACCCTCAGCCCGGAACACCCGGCCTCTGTACACACCGTACCCTTCGTACCCCCGTGCCCCCTGTACACACCCCGGCCTCGTACATTATACAAATTTTTAATTTAAACACCCACAAGCGTTGGCCCCGTACCCCGTGTACCCCGGTACCCCCCACCCCCCCTGTACCCCCCCCCCGTACCCCCCGTACCCCCCCGTACCCCCCCGTACCCCCCGTACCCCCCGTACCCCCCCACTTTGTGGGCCCAAATCTAGGAGCGTAAGCAACCTGCACCCGTTTGCGG